TGACGGCTCACCCGAGGCCCACCAGCTTTGTGGAGAAGCAGGATATGCTGATCCAGGTGGACTTCTGTACCTCTGAATTCCAGAACCTAGGCTACTTTTATCTGTGCTGTTCTGGTGTGCGAGTCCACTTGGAGCTAGTTTGAGTATCCACATGACAGCCCTGCCTTCAGTCAGGCGCCTGAAGAGCAGTCACCACGCTTGTTTAGATAAAGTCAACCTGCTGCTTTGATGAATGGCTTCAAGCCTTGGCAACTTCATCAGAGTTAAAGAAAACACTTAAGAAAATTCTGCTGCTGAGTAATTCCTGACCTGTGAATTACTTTGAATCTCAGGTTTCAGATCAATATAGTAAAACAATACCAAAAGGTGTTTGTAACATGAAGTTAATGGGAGTTATTTAACAGGCGCTTTGCAGATCAGCTTGCATCACCACTGGCAGACCCAGATCTAAGTGCATGTAATTGTAGCTCCAATAGCAAAGAATCCTTCAGTATAAACAATGTGGGTCATTAAAGCTCCCTAGCATTTAATTATCACCAATTAGCAGCTCAGTGAGGTAACATCTTACACAACAGGATCTTCCTATATTATCTGCAGTGAAGGATAGCTCCCAGGGTCTTGTTGAGACCAAGTGGGAAGGCATAGGGGCAGGGGGTTATCTTGGTTAAGACGCAGCCAAGTATTCAGCTGTAGCCTATTAGTAAAATCAGGTGTCAGTGTTAGAGCACTGCTGAAATAAGGTCTGGCGTGTAACCCTGATCCACACTTTTACCCGCACACAGGGCATGGAGGGAACCTTTGGCATTGATAATGAGGAGTATGAAGCTATGCCCGTGGAGGTGAAGCTGTTACCCCGGAAACTCCGGTTCTTCTGTGACCCCAGAGTGAGAGACCAGATGCTCCATGCAGTACAATGAGAATTCATGTCAAAGGGTCTCTTCAAGGCACACGAGACCTCACTACCTTGATTAACCCCACCAGACTAATAAGCTGTTTTTATATTGTATACATATAATATACTAAGGTACTTCCATTGGAAGTGGCTGATTTGGTGAGTCTCGAAGGGGTTAAAAATGCAACTGAAAGTTCTGAGAAATGCATGTTAACTTGATGGCATCTTTTTTTTTTTATTTTTTTCCCCAAGAAGTCATCAGTGTTCCATTTACAGCACTGCAGGCTGAGTGCTGTGTGCCAGATGCTACTGCTTTAATGCAATTGTATATTAAAGTAAAATGAAAGCACACCTGTTCTTGTGTTTTAAGAGTTTAAGTCTATATTACCTGTATATAAATATCACAAAACCTGGGATCTTGGAAAAAATTCATTTTGGGAGAGTAGGGCTGTCTATGAAAAGTTGGAATTGCCACATTAAAACCAGTGGTTCGTTATCTACTCCATCACAAAACAAACTGGAGATTGGTGACACTAAGTTCAGAGGAAGCCTAAAAACTGCTGCATGTATCTGGGTAAGATATTTATATTGTTTTTTTCATCTTACCAGATTAAACAGCACAGATTTCCACCTAATAATATAGTAGAAATATATTCCTTTGATTGAATTTAGGTATATTAGACAGAAGCAAATTGGGAAATGTCATCATTGTTTCAAAGCTCCATGAAGTACATGTGGAAAGACTTGTTAAACAAGCCAAATGAGCCTTTTTTATTTTGGTAAGTATTCCTTTTATTCCTGTCATAGTATAACACAAATAAGGGCATCCAAATAACTTCTATTATTCATTGTGTCTGGTTGCTCTTCTCTAATGTAAACCGTGCTCACCACTCCTTATGCAACCTATGTGCCCTTGAGTCTCAGTACCAGTTAGTTTTGTTGCTTTTCTGAGCTTTTGCTTATAGCTTAAATTGCTGAAAGAACTTATTCTTGACTTAGGCATGGTTATCTGTTGCACTTCTTACTATAACTGGCAAGTTGACAGGATTCTGCCTTGCCTGTTGGAAGAAAATAAGTTGATCCTTTGATGTGATTTGTTGTTTGTACGCAATTGTTACACTGTGATCTAAGTTCACTTGTTGATTCTTTGCTGTAATCAAAATAAGGACATGAGTGAACTGACTTGCAGCAGCTTTGTTAAGACTATCCTGGCTGCACGCTGCTGCAGCAGCATCCTCTGCTGGAGACTTCCTACAGGAAAACATGCTTTGAAAGGGGAAGTAGGGTTGGTTTTCTGCATGATGCTGGAACCAGGCTGAATGCTTGAATAGTCCTTCCCTTGACTATGCTGTGGAGGAACCAGTGACCTCAGCTATTGGAGCAAGTGCGAGGAAGATTGAGAGGGGTAGAAGCCTGATAGTTCTTTGTAATAGGTACACTGGTGATAGGGCGTCTGTTGTGCTTGCTTTTAATCTGCAGCAATTAAGAAGGCTCAGTGGACCCCTGGGCACTCCCTCTCCAAGAAACATGTTGGCTATGCTCTGCTCTTTTTGTTTGCCACAGAGATGCCTGGAACGTTGCTCTGCAGCCACTGGCTTGTTGAATCAGGGGCAGTTCTCACCAACTGAGAACTCTTTCCTCAAGCTGATGCGTCTGTAATAAAATCAGCAACGTGGTAGTTTGTTTGGTTTTTTTTTTTTCTCTTGAGTGGTAGCAAAGACAAGACAGCAGCCTTTTCAAAAATGTAAGCTTTAATTGTATTAAAAAATACCCATGTTTTAGTAAGCAGTTTCTCTACACAGCCACAGGCCTATGGGAACAACCACACATCCGCAAGATGCAAACAACATCAGAGCTGTTAGAACTACAACCAGCCTGCTGTAAGAGGTGAGGTGATAAGAACTAGCTTCTGGTTCATCTGTACATTTTACAGGGAAATTCTCTTCTGTGCTATCAGACGTGTGGCTCCCATTGCAGTGTGATTCCTTGCTGGAGGGTAACCGAGAGCTCCCTTCAGAATTGATGCTGTTACTCCTGTTCTGGTGTTAAAGTACCAAGGATCATTCGAGACATAGGCTGATATTTACATAATCATATAAGTTGAATAGCCTGTATAAATACCATTCAAGTAATTTTTCCCCTTCCTTCCTCCACAGTTCAGAGTATGGGGTGGTTCTAGATCTCTGAACTGCAATATTCACAGGAGAGGTGTGGGGGAAACATTATATAAAATAAGCAGGGGCTGAACCTGCTAGCTCCAGTGTTGAGCAAAGGACTCAGGTCTCACATTTTTGTCTGACAGCAAGACAGACAATTTTCTTTGTATAAGCAGCCAAGACAGGAAGGAGGAGTAGAATCTTGGGTTCTACTCATGAAAACACTTAATCCTGACTTCAACTTACAGTTCATTCTAGAAGGGCTTAAAATACTATACCATAAATAAAAAGGAAGGATAACAACCTAATGATGGACCAGCCCAAGGCACCTGCTTATTTTAACCACAATTAAACATTCCCATTTGAATGGCATGTTGCATTAACCAGGCCCTGAAATTTTGCTTCACAGGCATTTGGTGCCCTCATTTAGACACACGTCATTCTGTTCAGTTGGTACATTCCAGTCCCTTGCAAAAGAAACTTGTATTCTCTTCTCCCATAATCACTAGACCACTAGGGGTCTTTTTGCTTTTGTTCCCCCACCCCACCCCCTAGGAGGTGCTGGGGCAGAATGAGACAGCAACTAAGGTAGAAGTCATAGCTGTGATGAGAGCGTGGGGGTTGGTATGCATGTACCTGGAGTTTTGCATTAGGACAGAGTGCTCTTGCCCTGCTGTTCCAGAAGCCACTGCCTTTCCACCTCCCAGAGCTAAGCTGCCTGTCCCTTGCAGCCCCACAACTACTCCTATTGTTTTGCCCATTAACTTTGGCAGTTTTCGAAATGCTCTTAAGGATGCTGGTTAGGTGATCTCCTCTCCTGTTGCAGACATGGCCATTAGCTCCAAGAAGAGTAACTACTTCATATGTGCTAGAAAAGAAGGTTATGGGCATGTCTCTAAGACAAATCTGAACTCAGTTCAGTACAATGCCTTTGTCTTGGTGTCCATTATAGTTCTTAGTTGTATTTGTCTCTATGCAGCTTGGCCGAACCTTGCAGTGAAAAGAATCTCACATGATTTAAATGTCTGGCATAGTATCCTTTGTTCAGATTGAAAATGTACCTTTAATTTCTCTCCCAAGCTTTACCCTGCAACCCAGATAGCACACGTAGTGATAAGTCATTATTTGATTATACATTTCCAGTGCAACTTGAGTTAAGATGCAGCTATGAAGCTCCTGCTCTCCTGTTTAAACTCGAGCAGGTACCAGCTGAGGACCTGCAATGGCTGTGACTTGGGTGTTAGGGAGGAACACACTGGACTCTGCCTACCAGGGCACAGGATAGTTACTGTAACCACCATTCAACCTGGGCTTGCTTTCACAAGCAGCTGACCAGAGGCCATCACACCCAAGAAATTAAAGGCACCACTGTAAAGGCAGGTACTTCAAACAGAGAAGAGGATTTTGTAGTCATTGGCAATATCCTACCTTATGCTACACTTGACTCCCTCTTTTAATTCAAAATACACCAAGTAACTGTCTCCCTTCCAGCTGCTAGTATTAAGAAAAGCAACTATTAAGTGCCAAGGAGGGGATTTGAAATGTCTGCACCTGTTTTACCTTGAATTATGTTATCTCCTGGAAAGATAAGACTCAGTTAAATTGGTTCCAAACAAAAACATGCTGAACAAGCCTTCACACCCCAAGCTGTAACCGTTTGTTTGAATTATGTACCCATTTATCAAAGACTTTCCACATGCAACAACAATAAAAGGAATATCTATGAGAAAAGGAGAGTGCAGGTGGAAAGCTCTTTTGCAGCGAAACAAACATGGCAGGGTTAGGAGAAATCATTTTGTTCTGTTTTCTGTCTGGCAACTTCTTGATTTTTCTAGCAGTGGGCTGACAAAAGAGGCTACATGGAAGCAAAATTACAGGGAAGACCAAAACAGGCTGTAGCCATCCAGCTGGGATGTAGCATGGATGTTGCTGTCACAGTAATCTGCTTGCTTTGATGCTTCTGCACCCACACTACTGCTACAACTGAAGACCTAGTTTCTGGAAAGCAGAAGTTTAAGAAATGTCAAATAGTAATTTCAGGAGGTTCTGCTCAGTGAGCTCTGGCAGTGCTGTCTAGTACACATGACATTTAGAAAGCTTGTGAATGCAGCACTCTAATGAAGGTGTTAGAAAACCTCTGACTGCAGAGGATGTAAAATTTCAAGAACAAAGCAAAGGTTCGTTTCTATTTAGTTCAGCAGAACTACTGACAAAGAGAACAGAAAGTCATTAACAGCTGACCACAGCTAAACTGTGTAGCAAACCTTCAAGAATGTGAGAGGAATAATTGCTGGAGACTAGTTCCAGTTCCTCTTTTTATATCTGAAGGAAGTTAAGTAAGTGAGAAATGATACAGAGTCAGCTTTACTTCCTCCGGGGTCTTCACTGCAGACAGCATGTTAAAACTAAGGTGGAAGTTAGAGCATGGAGATTGTGGATCACTGTTACACTAGAGGTGTCAAGGAAAAAAGAGACTCGTCTTCCCATTAAATGATACTCAGCTGTTTTTTCCTCTTTCTCCATTTTTTACCCTCAACTTTCTATGGGTGATTACATTATAGTTGTGAGCAACTGGTGCTACAAGCAGTAGCATGTTTTCTCCTGTACAAAAACACCCAAAGCCCTGAAAAAGCAGGCAGGAGAGCAGCTGCTTAGAGGCAGGCAGACCACAGGAACCCAGTCTGCTGAAGCTCATACCAATGAACTGTGCAATAAGCCTTGTAAAGGCCCCTGATCCCGTGCCTCACTGAAACCTCTGAATCCACAGCAAGCAAAACCACCCCTTTGCTGCAGGTAGCCTTCAAGGAGAAACAGGACCTACCAGCCTCCTTCCTTCCAGAGAGAGACAATCCACAGAGGGTCTGCTCAGAGAACATTTGCTTCACC